GATACTGGATCATCTACTTATGATTTTAGCCTGTTAGTTAGGCCAAAACAAAATGCTTGTGTTAGAAAAGGTACTAAGGTAGCTAATTTTCTTAATTTGGATATTATTTCTACTTTGCTTACCAGGTATATAGAGCATGAGTTCTGACATGAAACGGTGCATATCACTAAATGCCAATTAAAAACTTCAGGGAAGGCATACAAATTTCGGTAGGTAGGTAGGGTAAGCAGAACCTTAAGATGTAAGAAATGGATTTTTTTGTGCATTTTCTATCTTTTTACATATGTGCAAAAATCCTCCCTATCAGAAACTTTTTACAGACAATAGGTGCAACCTATTTCATTTGGTAGAATCCATTCATTCCGAATCACTGATGTACATTTAATAGAATCCATTCATTCCGAATCACTGATGTACATTTGGTAGAATCCATTCATTCCGAATCACTATGTACATTTGAGGAATCATCAAATCTTGAAATATTTAAAAATGGAATTTTAATGTAAATTACTTACATTCATGCATTGAATTACAAGTCCTGTTCTGTGAGAGTGACAGAAATGTTTTGAAAACAAGTGTTTTGACATTCTGGTGCCTACCTACATGTACAATTTATACCTGCACTCCGAATCCTTATGGAATACATTCATGTAGCACCAGGTTGCTCTGATACTTTATCAGAATCACTATTGAATTGGAAATGTGATTTAATTTGGCCTTTTGACATGATTAAAAAATCTTATCTAGCATAACAGTGATTTTCAAAGAATACAAATCAATGAACATTGTAATGAAATGAATTGACACTCTCAAATAGTACTTCACTTTTAATGCTTTCAGTTTTATATACATTTCAAAATTGTCATGAATTCTACATGGTTATTTATTTTCGAAGGCTTAAAGATGTTTTAGTTCACCTAGCCGAAAGTCCAAGGGAGAGCTATTTCATAGCATTGTCCATCACCATCTGTTGTCAGTCCATCATCATCTGTTGTCCTTCCATCATCATTCCGTTAAAAAGTTACAAGTCAAGAATGGCTGAAGGAATTTTTTACTTAATTGGGTATGAATGATTTATACAGGAAGGGTTCTACTTTGGGAAGAGGGTTGCAGAGGCTCAATCTTGAAAATGGAAGTAAAATCTAATAGAACATAGATTAATCATCGTAAGGAAATAAATTATGCTAAAACAACTTGATTGCAACACAGTAGGATCACAGTTCCCTGCTGTACAACAGACGGGCAGCATAAATTAGAAATGCACTTATACCAAACAGAGTTATCTCCCATTAGCTGTTGAGACATATCCTGACAAATTTTCTGGTAGAGATTGACTTGCATCTATTTCAAGTTCTCCACTCATCACTTTTTACCATATCTTATTGCTTCTTTAATACAACATTTTACCTTTCTTTCCATCTTTTCCATCCTCCTTGTCCCCATTTTACCTTCTCTCTCTTCAGTCCTCTTTTCCTGCCTTTTTAAGTTTCTCTGTCTTCATATTTTCCCTCTTCCCCCATCCCTTCCATTTCAATAAAATGTTTCTCTCTATACTAGTCTCATGTCCTCCTTGAGTCTTTATCCCCCCATTAAACATCCGCCTCTCTATTCCATTTGCCTCCCCATTCCAGGCCATTCATCCCTTTTCTTCTCTCCATTATAGTGACCTCTCATTCTACCCCCATTCCTTCTTCCCTTTCTGTCCTCACAGCCAAATCTTTATCTCACCACTTTGATTTTCCCGAAGGTCACTTTACAACTTTCCACAAATCCAATTTCCTTCCATGCAATATTATGGTGCCCATCACCTATTTGTCTGTCCGTCAACAAGTATTTAATATGACTTCTGTACCCCTGAATACCAATTAGACTAGAAGCACCGTTAGATGATTAAAAATAAAAGTAATGAATAGATGACCGGCATTCAAAATTGTACCAATGCCTAATGGAGGGGCTGACCAAGAAGGGGACAGAGAGGCCAGGCCAAAGAGATACTTTGACCATATGAGCAACTTTTCTCTGGACTAATTCAACAACCAAACTAGATCGGAAGCATTCTCAGATGGTGTGATTACAAATTACAATCTCAGGAGGCTGAGGGGTGGGCCCAAAAACAGATAAGTTGGTCATATTGCTATAAGCAACTTCTTCTTGGAACTAAGAGATGGAGATCAGTCATTGGAAGCATTCTCAGATTGTGGTGATTGAAAATTATACAAATAGAGGGGCTGACTCCCCGCACCTACCCAGGTTTCTGAATGGAAATCAACTTATTCGGTTGGAATCATTCTCGGGTGGTGGATATTCATATTTGTACAAATGGAGGTACTGGCACTTCCTGGGGTCTGAGGTTAGGGGCCAAAAATGGCAATTGGGCAGCCATATGGCATCAAGCGATTTCTTCTCTGGCAGATACAATTTCTTAGTAGAAAGAGAAAAATACACCCATGCTTCATTGATGTCGGAGGAGTCTGACTCCACACCTAGGAGACTTGATCCCTGGATCAAAACCCTAAAACGATTGAAATCCCCACCCCAAAACATATACGATTGATTGGCATGAATATACAATCTCGATCATGATATAAAAATTGACCCTCGGTTTTTGTCACACACCCAGGGTAGACACCCGCCTTATATAACCATATATGCTAATGCTGGGCATGAGTATCCAATACAGATATGCTACCAACATTGTCCTCCAGTCTCTTTCAGATCTGGCAACTTCATCCATGGGCCATTATGTGGAAACGTTTTAGATCCCCATCCTACATCTGTATTACAATGAATATAATTGCTGATCTAGCGCATGGAAATTCTTATATAAATAGGATACCAGGATTGGCCACAGGGTTTAGCATTATCCCTAGGATCTTATTATTTTATTCCATGCCAGCTCTCCTTTTTCAATAAGCTTCTATATGCCTTTCTCTTCAATGAAATTTCTTCACAGCTCTCCAAGCTTGAGTTAATAAAGTCTTGTGTCCTCATAGTTTTCTTCGCATTCCTCTTTTATAAAGTGTTGTACATCGTACCTTGCCTCGGTCATCTTTTCTGTTCCACTTTCTTGTACCATAAACACTGTATATCATCAGACCGAGTCTTACTGGATACAAAATGAAACGGGAATGGAGGACATCGAAAATTAAAGGAAAGTCACCACGAACCCCAGAAATAGTGGAACTGGGTGTTCCGGAAAGGTAAGCGTTTCTTCCACCCTATACAGTGATTGAAGTAAACTTTTTTTTTACTGTCACAATATAGCACTATTCCCCGAAAATTCTTTGTCAAGAAAATTCCCCAAAACAGAAGAAAAAATCCACATAGAAAGTGAAAACAAACAAGTTTTTTGTTTTTTATTAAAAATGAATGTTGAAAGACACTCCCTACCAAATATATTATTAAATAAACCATAAGTACATAGGTTGGCGAAAAGCGAGCAGAAATTGGTGTTTCATAAATTAATGTTATTAAAAGAAACCGATACCAAGTCCTGTAAGACATCAGGGCAAATAAAAGTTAAACTGGCATAAGGCATGCAACCTCTGACCCGGAAATTATTCTTATTTAGGAATGGGTACCTAATCCCTACGTGGCAACCACCCTAACACAGAAAAGTATGTAGATAATCTTATCATCGATCTGAAACAATGAGCTCGTCTTCAATTATAGTAAACAATTAGCTCCCGTATAGTCGTTAGTCATGTCCTATATTCTCAGGACTTCCAGCATAGTAAGGGATGCTGCATCACACCGAATTTAGTTTAAGTATAGCTCCGTACTGATTTTACCATGTGAGGAATATATACATTTGAAATTTTATTTGGATTGGTTCCCACCATCAGGGAACAACTAACAACATTTTTCGCTTATATAATCCTACATGTGAACAATTAACGGTCGAATCACAGGGGCACGTTACAAATGTCTGAAATACACACATATGCTATACTGATATGGGTCACAACACACATAAACGTATAGGGGCACGTTACAAATGTCTGAAATGCACACATATGCTATACTGATATGGGTCACAACACACATAAAGGTATATATTTATGTGTGTTGTGACCCATATCAGTATAGCATATGTGTGTATTTCAGACATTTGTAACGTGCCCCTGTGGTCGAATGATCTGTTTTGAGCAACGATCTGTACTATTTATTAAAGATGGGTGTTTTTTTTTTTATCAAATCGCCTACCAATGTTATATGTACTTTTGTTGATGTAGTTATGACTATTTATGCATGTGTATGTTTCCTTCGCTACTACAACGGACAGTTACCTTTGCAGTTTCAATCTTACTGTTGGAGTTTACACTTCACACAATAAGCGGAGAAGTTTTAAACGTGTTAGTTATTAATCTTAAATATTGCCGTGTCAACTGCTGATATTACATGTAGCATCGTCTCGTCATCAGTTTCCGCGCGATATGTATTTCCGCGCAGCCATTTTATCATTCTATATCTCGTAACTACGTGACCTGCTGGACACAACACAAGGATATTTTAGACGTTTGGCCATCGTCTGTAAACTGACACAAAAATACCGGAAGTTCGTCCGGAAAACATAAGAAATAATCACTGATTAAAAAACACACATAAAAATGCAGTTTTTAGCTTGCTCAAAATGAGCCCATACCTGAAAAAACGGTGATATATTGCATTCATGAACCAGTCTTTTTTTGTGGTCTGACAAACGTACGAAAATGTCGTATGCAAATGAGGCCACATCTCCTCGCCGATATTTTCCACTTCCGAAGAGCCAAGCAGACATTCTTATATCTGCATTGAAACGTAAACCTTGTACTGCAATGAAATTACAATTTTCACCAATTTTAAACAGAAAAAAATGAGAAATAACTTATATAATTACCATCAACCAAAACCGATATAAGACTGCAGAAAAATAATAATAACAGATTCTATATTATAACCACGGAATTAGATTAGAGGGAAAGGCAACTGCCTCTTCGGCATAGTAAATATGTGCCGTGCACTTGATGTTGCGAGAAACTACGAGAAAGCGTGAGAATTTACGTGATTCGGGGAAAAAACCCGCCGCTTCAAACATCGAAGAAATTGATTGCCGTTCAGAAGTAACATATTTTGGGCTATCTCTACCGTTACATTGTCCGGATTTCAAAGTAAGTGATCTTTGCTAAACTTATGTTTAAATAT